AAAAATAGAAATATTTCAAACAAACAACTTAACCTTACACCTACAAGAACTCAAGGAACAACAACAAAGACACCCTACAGCAATAGTGGGAAGGAAACAACCAAGGTCAGAGAAGAATTAAACAACATAGAGGCTAAAAGCACAATTCTAAGGATCAATAAATCCAGGAGCTGGTTCTTTGAACAGATAAACAAAATCATCAAGTCTTTAAGCAGACTCATCAAGAATAAAAGAGAAAGGACCCAAATAAACATAACAAGAAATGAAAGAGGAGAGATTACAACTGATACCACAGCAATACAAAGGCTTGTAAGACAATTACTACAAAGAACTATATGCAAATAAATTTGATAAACTAGGTGAAATGGACAAATTTTTAGGAAAATATAATCTTCCAAAACTCAATGAAGAAGAAGCAGAAAGCCTGAACAGAACAATAACAGCAGATGAAATTGAATCAGTAATCAAAAAAACTCCAGACACACAAAAACCCTGGACTGAATGGTTTCACAGGAGATTTCTACAAAGCATTTAAGGAAGAGCTAACCCCTAATTTCCACAGACTATTGAAAAAAAATCAAGAAGATGAAGGCTCCCAAACTCTTTTGATGAAGTCAGCATCATCCTAATCCCAAAACCAGATAAAGACACAACAAAGAAAGAAAACTTCAGGCCAATATCGCTGATGAACAAAGATGCTAAAGTCCTCAACAAAATATTGGCAAACTGCATCCAGCAATATGTTAAAAAGATCATACACCATGAGCAAGTGGGATTCATGCCAGGGATGCAAGGATGGTACAATATTTGCAAATCATAAATGTAATAAACCATGTAAACAAAAGCAAAGACAAAAATCACATGATCATATCAATATATGAGGAAAAAGCATTTGATAAGGTACAGCACCCATTTATGATAAAAACATCCACCAAAGTGGGAACAGAGGGAGCACTCCTCAACATAATAAAGCTAATATATGAGAGAACTATAGCCAATATGATAATGGAAAAAACTAAAAGCATTCCCACTAAAGTGAGGAAAAGGACAAGGATGTCCTTTTTCATCACTTCTATTCTACATAGTATTGGAAGTCCTAGCCACAGCAATCAGGCAAGAAAAAGAAATAAAAGGCATCCATTGGAGGAGAGGAAACAAAACTGTCATTGTTTGCAGATGACATGATAGTGTACACAGAAAATCCTATAGACTCCACCAAAAAAATAGCTCAACCTAATAAATGAATTTGGCAAAACAGCAGTATACAAAGTCAATATTCGGAAATCAAAGGCATATTTGTATACCAACAATGAAACATCAGAAGCAGAAATCAGGGGGAAAATCTCATTTGATATAGCAACAAGAAAAATAAAATGCCTAGGAAAAAAACCTTCACAAGTAGATAAAAGATCTGTACTCAGAAAACTACACAGCACTGAAGAAAGAAATTAAGGAAGACACAAACAAATGGAAACAAATACCATGTTCATGGATTGAAAAAATTAACATTAAAATGCTCATACTACTCCCAAAATTTTATAGATTCAACACAATACTTATTAAAGTACCAGTGGTATATTTCACAGATATAGAACAAACACTTCCAAAATTTATATGGAACCATAAATAACCCCAAATAGCTGCAGCAATTTTGAGAAAGAGGAGCAAAGTAGGAGGGGCCACTATACCTGATATCAAACTGTATTACAAGGCCACCATAATCAAAGATCCTGTTACTGGCATAAGAACAGACACATAGACCAATGGAGCAGAATGTAGAGCCCAGAAATAAACCCAAGTCTTTACGGCCAATTAATATTCAACAAGTTGAGCAGCAGCATAAAATGGAGTAAAAATAGCCTCTTCAACAAATGGTGTTGGGAAAGCTGGACAGCTACATGCAAAAAAATGAAACTCAAGCACCAAGTTACACCATACACACACAAAAATACAAGGTGGTTAAAAGACTTAAAAGTAAGTTGTGACATCATTAAAGTCCTAGAGGAGAACATAGACAGGAAAATCTCAAATATACCAGGCAGCAATATTTTCACTGATATGTTCCTTAGAGCAAGGGACATACAGCAAAGAAGAAACAAACAGGACCTCACCAAAATAAAAAGCTTCTGTATGGCTAAAGAAAACAACATCAGAATGAAAAGAGGACCCTATATGGGAAAACATATTTGCCAATGATACCTCAGACAAAGGTTTGATATCCAAAATATATAAAGAACTCACATGAATCCACTCTAAAAAGACTAGCAACCCAATTTAACAAATGGGCAAAGGACTTGAACAGACAATTCTCGAAGGAGGACATACATAGGGTCCAGAAACATATGAAAAGATGCTCAGTATTGCTAGCTATCAGAGAGATTCAAATTAAGTCCACAATGATATACCACCTCACATTGTTGAGAATGGTCATCATAAACAAAGCTACAAACAACAATTGTTGGAGAGGTTTTGGAGAAAAGGGAACCCTAGTAGACTATTAGTGGGATTGTAGACTGGTGCAACCGCCATGGAGAACAGTATGGAATTTCTTCAAAAAAGCTAAAAATGAATCTTCATTTTACCCAGCAATTCCACTGCTGAGATTATATTCTAAAATCCCTGAAACAACAATGCAAAAGAACCTATGCACCCCAATGTTCATAGCACCACAATTTACACTAGCCAAGTGCTGGAAGCAACTTAAGTGTCCATCAGTAAATGAATGGATCAAAAATTTATGGTACATCTACATGATAGAATACCACACAGCAGTAAGAAAGTAGGAGCTCCAATCCTCCGTGACAGCATCGATGGGTCTGAAGACCATTATGCTAAGTGAAATAAACCAGGACATGAAAGACAAATACCATATGATCTTACCTATAAGTTGTACACAATCAACAAACAAATAAGCAAGCAAAATATAACCAGAGACAGTGAAATTAAGAACAAGCTGAGGGTAACTACAGGAGAAGTGGGAAAGGATAAAGGCATAAAAGGGGAAAGGGTTTTCAGAAACAAGTATGAAGGACACATGAACAAAACCAAATGGGGGTGGGGTCAAAGGATAGAAGTTGGGATGGCTAGGGTCGGAGTAGTGGTAGGGGGAAAATGGAGACAAGTGTACTTAAACAACAATAAAAAATAAACATAAATAAAGGACACATGGACAACACCAAAGGGGTGTAGGATCAATAGTTGCAGCTAGGGATGGCTGGTGTGACAGGCGGGAGGTGGGGGGTGGTAGAGGGAAAATGGAGAAAACTATACTTGAGCAACAATTTTAAAAATATTATAAAAAGGCATTGTACAGTGTGTCAGAAGCTGGATGTGAAAGACAAATATATGCTTCATAAAGACAGCTTGAGAGAAAAAAAGGAAAACATTATCAATATTATTTAATATTTTTAACATTATTAAATATATAATAGTACATATAACTTATAATTTTTGTATAATATAAAATTATAAATTATTAATTATATAAAATTATATATAAGTTGTAGTAAAACATATAATTCTTATATAATAATTCCTACTATATAAAAATTATAAGTCACATATACAATATTATATATTATATACAATATTATAATCTTATAAGATTATCACATAAAATTATATATTATATAATGATATATTATAAAGAATGTTATAATAATTATATAAATATGAGGTATATTATAAATGGTTCAATATGTTTATTATTTAATATTTATAACATTAAATAGATTGATATAAATATTAATATTTATATTAATATTTATGCAATTTAATTGTTGGGGTCTGCACTGCCTGGTCTGAGGAAGCTGTACCCCCCATGACTTAGGCTGAGTGAGAGACCTCTGAACCAGGAGACACTACGGAGACAAACTTATTTCCCTGGCATGAATGCTGCCTGTTCTGTGCCTGGCCTCCAATGCTTGATCAGTTAGCCAATGATGGGTAAGATTTCCCATGGCGGGAATTGCCTAAAATAGGCATGATCATGTGGAGGCCTCAAGGAAGGGCTTAGGGGACTGTGGAAATGAAGGGGTGATTCAACATCACCCCTTGGCTTTGTCAAAGCCTGAGTCCTTGTTCTTAGTTGTGAGAAATCCAAGTCTCCCAGCTGCCTTTGTCTCCTCTGCCCGACTCAGGCCTGCAGAAACAACAGGGGTGGTGCAGTCCAGACCAGAGCTGGCGGACCCCCGTAATCAGTCCTGGGACATAGAATATGCAAGATTCTGTGAAATCTGCTTGCTGGAGGATGCTATTGAATTAGAATATGAAGGTACGGGCAGGAAACAAGACTAGCCTTTTAGATCCTGTAGTCTTTTTAAGTGATAAAACTGAAAATCTCAGCCCGGAATCCCAGCGGAAGATCTACCAGCACCTTTGAAAGCTACCTATTCCTTTTTATCTTCTCTGCCAGACTATAATCCACAAACTGTATCTATTCTTAATAAAAGCCTACTTGGGTGGGAAAACGGGGTGTTCTCCAATAGAGAGAGTGGCTGTTTTGTCCCTATTTCTCCAAAGGGTTCAGTTGTCCTTGCATATGTTTTCCTCGTGTTTTGATGAGCCTTCTGCAGTGTTCCATGGTCACTGCAGGCTGGTGGCCACATCATTTAATATTAATATATAGGGGATATAATGTAATTCTATCATATTACTTGTTATTTCATGCAATATTAGTATGTTAGGTATTTATTATGTTAATATGTATAATATCATTGATAATAATATTGTGTCAATGTTATATGTAATTTATATTATACATATCATTATATTATATAACAGAATATTATAAGTTACTACATAATAAGGTATACTATTATATAAAAATAAAACTTACATTATTCAAAAAGTGGACAAAGCTTTCTAGCTAACATGTGCATAGAAAACTTGAATAAAATGAGTAAGCATTGGATCCTTATTTAAGATTATGTATTCTGACAATATCTCAAATCTATTAATAAGACCAAATTAAAATTTCAAACTGAGAGTGCTATACTTACAGTTTCTAGCAGAATTTGATCATTCTTAGCTCTGAAAAATATAAAAAATATCTGTAATGTATTATAATTTTATTTATAGTTTTATTTATGTGACATATACATTTTCTTTGTAAATTTTTTTAAAAACAAATAAATATTAGAGTACAATCTTATTACAATTCTGAAAATTCAATTAGCTCCTCAGAGACAATTTTAGATTTTTGCCTACCATGCCAGAATTTATTCCATGAATTCATATAATAGTGCATGTACCTATTTGATTCTAAAATTTTTGTATTGGGTTGGATGTTGTATTTTTTCCACATGTAGGACATCAATGTATATATGGTTCTCAAATTTTTTTTCACTTAACACAGTTTCTGAGAACTATTTTTATTGGTAAACATAGGTCTATTCCACTTTTTAATATTTTTAAAACATACAATGTTTATTATATTTTTTCCATTACCATTTAGTCCCCTTATACCACCCTACCCTGCAATCACCACTGTTGTCCATGTCCATGAGTCTTTTATCCTTTTTACTCACTTATTTGATTTTTATTCATTTTTTAGCCTTTAAAACTTTATTATGTGTCTTTTTTAGATTACTCTTTATTGTGAAATTACAACTGTCCTGCCTATTTCCCCAAACCTGCCCTCCCAATTCCACAGTCAATCCCCCCAATTTTCTGTGTCCATGAGGCCTCTATTCATGTTCCTTTGCTTGTTTCTTCCTCTTCTTTCCCCCCTTATCTCCCTCCCACCGCCCCTTTGGTAATTGACCATTTGTTCTTTATTTCCAAGTTTCTGGTTCTATTTTGTTCATTTGTTTGTTTTGTTGATTAGGTTTCACTTATAGGTGAGATCATAAGGTATTTGTCTTTTACCACCTGGCTTATTTTTTAAAAGATTTTATTTATTTATTCTTAGAGAGGGAAGGGAGGGAGAAAGAGAGAGAAACATCAATGTGCAGTTGCTAGGGGCCATGGCCTACAACCCAGGCATGTGCCCTGACTGGGAATCGAACCTGGAATGCTTTGGTTCACAGCCTGTGCTCAATCCACAGAGCTATGCCAGCCAGGGGTTACCACCTGGCTTATTTCACTTAGCATAATGCTCTCCAGTTCCATCCATGCTGTCAATGGACAGGAGTCACAAAGGATAGGAGTTCCTTCTTTCTTTCTGCTTCATAGTATTCCATTGTGTAAATGTACCAGTTTTTTGATCCACTGATTTATGGATGGGCACTTAGGTTGTTTCCAACATTTGGCTATTGTGAATTGTGCTGCTATGAATACTGGGGTGCATAGGTTCTTTTGAATTGGTGAATCAGGATTCTTAGGGTGTAGTTCCAGCAGTGGAACTACTAGATGAAAAGGCAGTTCTATCTTTAGGTTTTTGAGGGAATTTCATATTGTTTGACACAGTGGCTGCACCAGTCTGCATTCTCACCAACAATGTACTAGGGTTCCCTTTCCTCCACAACATCACTAGCACTTCTTGTTTCATGAATTATTAATGATGGCCATTCTGTTCAGTATGTAAGTGACCTAACCCTACATCAATAAAAACTAGAGGTACAACAACAAACACAACCCAGAGTGAGTACATGGAAGGAAATAATCAAAATCCAAGCAGAATTAAATGACAGAGACTAAAAGAATAATCAAAAGGATCAATAAATCCAGGAGCTGGTTCTTTGAAAAAATAAACAAAATTGACAAGATTTTAACCAGACTCATCAAGAAACAAACAGAAATGACCCAAATGAATAAAATCAGAAACAAAATGGAAGAAATTGCAACTGATCAAAAGAAATTATTGTGAACAACTATATGCCAAGAAATTTGAAACCTGGGTGAAATGGACAAATTTATAGAAACATATAATCTACCAAAACTGAGTCAAGAAGAAGCAGAAAGCCTGAATAGACTGATATCAGCTAGTGAAATTGAAGCAGTAATCAATAAACTCCTGGCACAAAAAAAAAAGCCCTGGGTCATACAGATTCAAAGGAGAATTTTATGACATTTACAGAAAAGCTAACCCTGATTCTTCTCAAAAGATTCCAAAAGTTCCAAGAACAGGTAATACTCCCAAACTGTCTTTATGAGGCAGTGTTATCCTAATTCCAAAACCAAGTAAAGACACAACCAAGAAAGAAAACTTCAAGCCAATAACACTGATGAACATAGACACTAAAATCATCAACAGAATATTGGCAAACCACATCCAGCAATACTTTAAAAAGATCATACACCATGACCAAGTGGGATTCATTCCAGGGATGCAAGGATGGTACAATATTTGCAAATCAATAAATGTAATACAACAAATAAACAATATGAAAAACAAAATCACATGATCACATCAATAGATGCTGAAAAAGCACTTGATGAAGTACAGTACCCATTTATGATAAAAAACACTTAGCAAAGTAGGAGTAGAGGGAGAATACCTGAACATAATGAAGGCCACATACAAGAAAACTACAGCCAATATCATACTCAACAGTAAAAACTAAAAGCTTTCCCCCTAAGATCAGGCCCCAGAAAAGGGTATACACTTTCACCACTTCTATTTAACATAGTATTGGAAGTCCTAGCCACAGTGATCAGACAGGAAAAGGAAATAAAAAGCATCTAAATTGGAAAGGAGAAAGTGAAACTGTGACTGTTTGCACATGGCATGATAGTGTACATAGAATACACTATATCTCCCAACACCGTTAATTAGATGCATATTGAAACCACGATGGCATACTACTTCACACCAGTCAAAATGACCATCATAAACAAGTCAACAAACAATAAGTGCTGGTGAGGTTGTGGAGAAAAGGGAACCCTAGTACACTGTTGGTGGGAATGCAGACTGGTGCAGCCACTGTGGAAAACAGTATGGAATTTCCTCAAAAAACTAAAGATGGAACTGCCTTTTGATCCAGCGACCCCACTGCTGGGACTATACTATAAGAATCCTGAGCCACCAATTCAAAAGAGCCTATGCACCTTAATGTTCATAGCAGCATTATTTACAATAGGCAAGTGCTGGAAACAACCTAAGTGCCTATCAGTGAATGAATGAATCAAAAACTGTGGTACATTCACACAATGGAATACTACGAAGCAGAAAGAAAGAAGGAACTCCCACTCTTTGTGACAGCATGGATGGAACTGGAGAGCATTATGCTAAGTGAAATAAGCCAAGTGATAAAAGACAAATAAATACCATATGATCTCACCTATATTGAATCTTAATCAACAAAATAAACAAGGAAGCAAAAATATAACCAAAGAAAGAACAAAAACCAAACTGTCAGTAACCAGAGGGGAGGTTGAAGGGAGGACAAAGAGGAAAGTAGGAAAAAGGTAGTTAAGGAACGCCTATAAAGGACTCGTGGACAAAGCCAAATGGTGTTTAGAATTGAGGGTGTGATGTGGTAGTCCCTGGGGCAGTGTTGAGTACTGGGTGGAAAATGGAAACAACTGTACTTGAAGGACAATAGAAAACATTAAAAATTGAAAAAATAAAAGTAAAGAAAATTTTAAAATTTAAAAAATAAATTAATTGTTCTTTAAAAGTAATCAGAAAAGCCCTAATTTTTATTCAGCAGCAAAGGGAACATTAGCCCCAATTAGCAAATATAAATAAATACAGATAATGAAAAAAATGGTTTTGTGATTTCATTCCACAAGATACTCTTTTTCAACATACCAATTGTATAACTAACATAACCGTAGGCACCAGAAAGAACTGTAGTTCATCCTCAGTGACTTTCAAGATACTTCCCAATATGCAAAGAAATGTGCAAAACATATTCTAGCCAGAGAATTGTACAAAGCTCACTTTGAGTATACCAGCGTTCAAGTTGGAAATCCTCTCCTTTATAGTTACCCCTGAAACTAGTCCTTCCCACTTCCTTCTGCTACACCCAGGAATTCTAAAACCAGCAGTAACTAGCACCAATAGTCTAATATGAAGAGCTACAGCAAATAATATTGAATAGTATCAATGACTGCTTTAATATCCTGGGTCCAATGGATAAAATTGTCATGGAAACTAATCTCCATCTTTAAGAATGCCCCCAGAACATGACGCCCTCCAATGAGCTTTCATCTGACAAGGCTGTGAAAATTCTGATCCTAACCTTTAATAGGAAGGATTCCAAAAAGATATAAAGGGAAAATGACAAATAGGGCCTAAGTTAATCACATACCAAATACCTGGCCATTAATGAATACAAGCTATATGTCCTTTATTTCTACTTTTAGCAGATTCCCCAGATATAACTTTCTTTACATTTTTAAATTTATTTTATTGATTATGATAATATATTTGTCATTTTTTTCTCCCCTTTACCCACCTCTGCCTTGCACATTCTTCCTCTAGCATACCCCACCCCCTTAGTTTATGTCCATTGGCCATACATTTAACTTCTTTGGCTTCTCCATTTCCTATACCGTTCTTAACCTCCCTGTCTATTTTGTGCCTCCCAATTATGCTTCTTAGTCTCTGTACCTTTTTAACCCATTCTACTACTTCCCCCTGCCCACTGATAAACCTCCATGTGATCTCATTTCTGTGATTCTGTTCCTATTCTACATCTTTGCTTAGTTTTAGTTTTTGTTTTTTAGGTTCAGTTGTTGATAGCTGTGAATTTGTTGTCATTATACTGTTGATATTCTTATCCTCTTTTATTCTTAGATAAGTACCTTTAAGATTTCACATAATAAGGGTTTGGTGGTGATGAACTCCTTTATCTTGACCTTATCTGGGAAGCACTTTATCTTTCCTTCCATTCTAAATGATAGATTTGCTGGACAGAGTAATCTTGGATGTTGGTCCCTGCATTTCATGACCCTGAATACTTCTTTCCAGCCCCTTCTAGCCTGTAAGGTTTCTTTTGAGAAATTAGCTGATGGTCTTATGGGAAGTCCTTTATAGGTAACTGCCTCCTTTTCTCTTGCTGCTTTTAAGATTCTCTCCTTATCTTTAATCTTGGGTAATTTAATTGTAATGTGTCTTGGTCTGTTTCTTCTTGGATCCATCTTCTTTGGGACTTTCTGAGCATCCTGGACTTGCATGTATACTTCCTTCACCACATTGCAGAAGTTTTCCTTCATTATTTGTTCAAGTTAGTTTTCAATTTCTTGTTCTTCCTCTTCTCCTTTTGTCACACCTATGATTTGGACATTGTCCCAGAGGTTCTTGAGCTTCTCCTCTTTTTTTTTTTTTGAATTGTTCCTTTATTCAGTTCCAGCTGGATGTTTATTTCTTCCTTCTACTCCAAATTGTTGATATGAGTCCTGGCTTCCTTCCCTTCACTGTTGGTTCCCTGTATATTTTCCTTTATTTCACTTTCCACAGCCTTCATTTCTTCCTTTATTTTGTGACCATACTCAACCATTTCTGTGAACATCCTGGTTACCAGTGTTTTGAACTCTGCAATTGATAGGTTGGCTATCTCCTCATCACTTAATTCTGTTTCTGGAGTTTTGATCTGTTCTTTCATTTGGGCCACATTTCTTCGTCTTGGTGTACCTGTTACATTGTAAAGGGTGGAGACAGGTATTCACCAAGGTGGGGCAACCCACCTCACTGCATGGTGGCACTATCTGTGGGGGAGGAGTCAGAGAGGAAATAAATATGATTTCTCAGCTCTCATTCCCCTTTCTGTCACTTTCCTTGCTGCCCACAAGCAGACTGTGCCCTTTCAGGAGCTGAATGCTGGGTGGGTGGGCTTGTGTACTTTCTAGGATCCCATGGGCCCCACCAATGGACTCTCCTGTGAGACTGGCAGTCTCTCCCACCTTCATAACCCCACAGGTGTTTACCGCCAGAGGTCTTGAGGATTTAGTTCCCCACTCAGGAACCCTAGGTTGCACAGTTTGTCTGGCTCCTCACTTGTTCCTCCCAGCTTATCAGCTTGCAAACGTGGGACTACCTGGTCCACCAGACGCTGCCTTGTCATAGATTATCACTGCCCTGGCTTCCAGTCTCCACCCCTCCTACCAGTCTGGATGACTGTTTCTTCTCTAATTCTTTGGGTATAAGACTTCCATACAGTTTGATTTTCTGGCATTTCTGGCTGTTTTTTGTTTTTAAATTGGTTGTTATCCTTCTTTTGGTTGTGCAAGGATGCAAAGCATATATACCTGTACCTCTACCTTGGCTGGAACTCTCTTTACACTTTTCTGTGATTTATTGATCACTGGATTTGATAACTATAAAATCTAATCATGTAAAATTTTCCAATTTTTCAATATTGAATTTAAATATTTTTAAAACAATGAGTGATATGAATGTTCATAATATGTTTTACTTTAAAACATTTACTTAAAAATAATTATGAGTTTAAAAATAATTCTCAATAAATGAATAGTATGCATATCAGTAACATTTTGTATGAATATAATTTTCTACTTTCTAAAACTGTAAAATATATATAACATAAATTTGCCATTTAACTATTTTTAAGTACATACTAAAATACGTTCACATTATTGTGCAACCAAACTCCAGAACTCTTTTCATCTTGCAAAAATAGAACCCATTAAACAACTCCCCATCCCCCACTCTCCCCAAACCCTTAGCAACCGCCACTTTCTTTTCTGTCTCTATGAATTTGACTACATTATGTACTTCATATTAATAAAATCATAAAATTCTTGTCTTTTTGTAACTGGTTTCTTTTACTTAATATAGTGTCCTCAATGTTTATTCAGCTTTTACTATGTGTCACAATTTCCTTCCTTTTTAAGACTGAATAATATTCCATTGTATGTATATATTTCATTTTTTTATCCATTTGTTCTTCATCAGACACTTGGGTTACTTCTAATTCTTTGCTCTTGCAAATAATTCTATAGTGAATATGTGTATATAAATAGCTCTTCAAGATGTTAATTTCAGTTTGTGAGGTATATACCCAGAAATGGAATTGCTGAATGATCTGATAATTACATTTTTAATTTTTTGAAGAACTGATATGCTATTTCCCATTGTAACTATACAATTTTACATTCTTTGTGATTATAAATTTAATCTTTAAAATTATACATATCATAAAAACTAATGTAAGAACACTAATTTTTTAAACAGTAATCTTATTTTTTTCTTTATATTTCCAAATTTTCTAAAATATGTATGTATTCAGTTTTATAATTTGGAAAAGAAATTATTTTAAAAGCTTACCTGTCTAACATATTTGACTGTTTTTCAAAAATTTTCAACATGGCATTCAATCGATTAGGTACTGAATAAGTACCTTCTATTTCCAAAAAAAGAAAGAAAAATATTTAAAAGTGTTACAAATAGCTAGTTATACCTATATTCTGATATCTCACTTCTATATATGTGAGAACCAGACAAGCAAAAAAAGAGAGAGATAGAGTCATGTCAGTACTCAAGGAACAAAATGCTTAAGATAAAAATAGTTTCCATTTTATAAAATGCTCATTATGTGCAAGACACTATACTACTTTACATTCTTCTACTCCTCAAAATAAATTTAAAAAGAACATACAATCATCATTTTCAAATAAAGAAATTGAGGCTCAGAGAGGTTATATAACATGATCAAAACTGCATCTACTAAGTGACAAAACTGGACTGAGGTCCAGTGTATGTGCCCTCCTTATGATAGTAACACAAAACTCTTCAATCTTGGTACACAAGAATTGTATAACAGAAGACAGCTCCTGCACCAAGTTTTTTGATAACAACAAAACATAGTAAGTGAAAAGAAAATGTTAAATAACACAGTTCCTTCCTATCTATGGACATAAAACCACTCTTCATTCCTTATGTCTTTTTTGATTTCTTTCATCAGAATGTTGTACTTTACCTCATATAGACCTTGTACATATTTAATTAGATTGAAATCTAAGTATTGAGCTTTTGGTGCTTATGCAAATGGTTTGTGTATAATATCAAAATCTACTTGTTCATTGCTTATATATAGGAAAAACTGCAATAAGAAAATTCAATATTGTTAAGATGTCAGTTGTTGTCAGTTTGATCTTTAGATTCAATGTGACCCCAATCAAAATCCCAGCAAGTTATTTTGTGTATATCAACAATCTAAATTATAAACTTTATGTGAAAAGGCAACAGATCAAGAGGAGCCAATACTATATTAAGAAGAATAAAGTAGGAAAACTAATACTATCCAAATTTAAGATATAATATAAACCTAAAGTAACTCAGACAGTTTGCAAAAGAATAAACAAACAAATCAATAAAACTGAATAGAGATCCCAGAAATAAACCCACACATATATAGACAGCTGATCTTGGTGAAAGAAAGAAGACAAAAAGATTAGTCTTAATGGAGAAAGGTTAATCTTTTCAACATATGAGACTGGAAAAACTGGACATCCACATACAAAAAATAATCTGGACAGAGACATCACATCTTTCACAAAGAATAACTCAAAATGGGTCACAGATTTAAATGTAAAATGCAAAACTATGAAACTACTAGAAGATAATATAGGATAAAATATAGCCCTACCCTCCCAAATCCTTGACCCTGCCTTGCCAAGCATACACCCTTTAAGGAGTCTGCTGCTTAAGATTGTGGTGTCCATTTTTTCTGAAAGAATGCTGAAGGCAAGCTCCAGGGGAGTCAGTGACTGAGTTGTGTGACTCTGGGGCTGGGCAATTTCCCATCACCTGGCCATGCCACAGCAGCAGTGCAAATACCATCTATGTGCCAGAGCCATGCACCACAAGCATCAGAGCAGCAGAGCCCTGTGGGCCAGAACAGCAGCCCCACACTCCCCAAGCACCGTGGCAGCAGAATGAGTCCCTCATAACAGATCAGCAAGCACTTCCCCCTCCAGGAGTGCCAAAACAGTATCACCTCACCCTCCCACAAGAAATTCAACAGCCCCATCACTGAGATCCACAAGCTCCACCTGCTTGACTCCCAGTGGTTCCACCCACCTGAGCTTGCACTCTGCAATATTGTCAGCAGGCCCTGGTCAGCCTGATCCTACTGTGTAGAAAACGCTCCAGGTGGTTCAGACAGACTCTGAGAAAAGCTGAATTAGGTGGCTGCACCCTGAGACTTCCAGTAAGTGGCCTCAGACCCAGTACTGTAACTGAGTTTGAAATTATATCAATCTGATGAACACCACTTGCCTCTACCTGGTGTCTCACTGGGAAACTACGTCATGCACATCACATACTGACAGAGACTTTTTCAGTGAGTGAATTGAACAGAAGCTACCAGGTGGAGGAGCATTTAGGGAAGCTTCAGACCTTTTGCTGACATGCCTTCTGGCTCAGTGCTAATGATTATTGGCCTTGGTGCACAGTTTGGCCCTTCCCAAGAACACTCAGGCCCAGCAGAGGCAGCCACAAATGGTGGATCACTTTGTCACTTCAAACTCAGATAGCCCAGAGCCTGTCACAGGCAGCATCTGAAATTGGCCTGCACTGCAGTACCTCTGAAGTGGCCCCATAACCAATACACTCAGTGGTGAGATTAAGACAAATACCATGTGATCTCATCTTTAACTGGAACATAATCAACAAAAGAAAAAAACAAACAAAATATAACCAGAGACAATGAAATTAAAAACAATCTAACAGTAGCCAGAGGGGAAGGGGAGGGGATTGTGGAGAGAAGGGTTTTCAGGAAATACTATGAATGACACATGGACAAAAACAAGGGGCAGGGAGGAAGCAAGGGAGGGAGGAAGGTCTGGCTGGGCTGGAGGGGAGTGGGGGGGAGAAAATGCAGATAACTGTAATTAAACAACAATAAAACATTTAAAAAATTTTAAAAAGGAACATATCACAGCATGACCTAATTAATGCCACAAATGACACACACAGAAGGAAATCTTGGCAAGCACCAGTCCCTGCTGGTGCAAAATCTGCTTCATGTGATCAGCATACAGAGCTCATATGCTGTGAGCTGGAGTAAATATTCATAGCCAACCAGAGGGACAACCCCACCCACAGATGAGCCAACAGATTAAAAAACTCAAATACAACAGGACTCATAGAACCCACACAAAGGAAATTCCTGGATCACTTGCTCAAGTGATCGGGAACAGTGTGCTACTGAGCCCCAGCAAACATCTACTGCATAAGGGCACCATACCATGACTGTGAGACAGCAGTTCTACCTAATACAGAGAAACAAATACAGAGAGGCAGCCAAAATGCAGAGATAAGAGAACATGCCCCAATAAAAGAAAAAACTAGATAAATCCCCAGAAAAAAAAATTAAATGAATGGAGATAAACAAGCTACCAGATACAGAGTGCAAAACAATGGTTATAAGAATGCTCAAGGAACTTAGAGAAAGAATTAATGAACTCAGTGACAACTTACACAAAGAGAAACATTTTTTAAACATAAAACCATAAAAGAACCAGTAAGAAATAACAAATACAATATCTGAAAAGAAGAATAGAGAAATCAACAGCAGACTAGATAAGGGGATCAAATCAGTGATATGGAAGCCAAAAGGCAGAAAATACCCAATCAAAAAAGAAAAAAAAGTATTTTACTTTATTTTTTAATTGTTTCATTGTTGATCAAGTACAGTTGTCTGCATTTACCCCCCCCCTTGGTGTTGTCCATGTGTCCTTTATTTATTTTTATTTTTTATTATTGTTTAAGTACATTTGTCTCTATTTTCCCCCAACCCAAGCCACCCCCACTTCACATCTTTGATCCTAACCCCGTTTAGTTTTGTCCATGTGTCCTTCATACAAGTTTCTGAAAACCCTTCCCCCTTTTACCTGATTTGTCTTTTCCCACTGCCCCTGTACTTACTGTCAGTTTGTTCTTAATTTCACTGTCTCTGGTTATATTTTGCTTGCTTGTTTGTTTTGTTGATTGGGTGCAACTTATAGGTAAGTCATATGGTATTTGTCTTTCACAGCTTGACTTATTTCATTTAGCATAATGGTCTTCAGATCCATCCATGCTGTCACAGAGGGTAGGAACTCCTTCTTTCTTTCTGCTGCATAGTATTTCATCGTATGGATGTACCATAGTTTTTTGATCCACTCATTTACTGATGGGCACTTAAGTTGTTTCCAGCAGTTGGCTATTGTAAATTGTGCTGTTATGAACATTGGGGTACATAGGTTCTTTTCAACTGGTGTTTCAGGGTTCTCAGGGTATAATGCCAGAAGTGGAGTTGTCAGATCAAAAGGGAATTCTGTTTTTAGTTTTCTGAGGAAATTCCATACTGTTTTCCGCAGTGGCTACACCAGTCTGCATTCCCACCAAGAGTACACTAGGGTTGCCTTTTCTCCACATCCTCTCCAACACTTGTTTATTGATGTGTTTATGATGGCCATTCTGACTGGTGTGAAGTAGTACCTCATTGTGGTTTTAATTTCCATCTCTCTGTTACCTAGTAATGCTTAGTATCTTTTCATATGTCTCTGGGCCCTCTCTATGTCTTTGGAGAAGTGTCTGTTCAGGTCTAACCCTAACCCTAACCCTAACCCTAACCCTAACCCTAACCCTAACCCCTGGAGGATTTGGGCTGGGGGCTGGGCAACTGTCAAGAGTGTGACCCAAATCTGGTCTCCATCCTCCCAAAATTATAGAAAAGGAGAAGAGCAAAGCCCAAACTCCCTCAATCTGTGGAAGCCAGGAACACCCACAGATCCTCTTTTGCTAGTTTAAATTCAGCAGGAAGCTTTTCCTTCTCCCACCCCAAGTGACACAGAAATACCTGGAGCTATGAAAGAACCAGAGTCAGACCCAAAAAGGGATCACAGGGTTAATCCCAACAACTGAGAAACTGAAACAAATTTCATTTTGCTATTCCAAAGAACTTGCATGTTATTGTTTATTTCTATTATTATTATTTTTTCATTATTTTTGCTTCTTTTATTTTTTCATAGTGTTTTTTTATTTCTCTTCTTTCTGTTTAGTTTTCTTCATTTTATTTGTTTGTTTAATTGCATTGTTTGATTGGTTTTCCTTGTTCTCTCTTTCATACTGTATTTTAATTTTCCTACTTTCACTTCACTTGTGTTCCAATAGCACACTACTCTAGGTCATGTACTTACTATTCTTTTTATTCAGATCATATAGTTTCTGTCATATGATTGTTGTTCCAGTATTATTATCAATAAGTGCTGTTCCATACAATTGTAAATACTCCACAGGACAATTCCCAGGCCTTAGCCCATTTCATTATATTCTAGAATTTTATTACTGTTGTAGTTAACTCTACTCTCTCACATACCATGCCTATTTTCTATCCTGTGCTCTCACTATATCTCA